CGGAGCACGCGCACTTAACCACTACACCACCGGGCCAGCCCCGTAATATGATCCTTTTAATGTATTATTGAATTTGTTTTGCTAATATTCTATTGAGGATTTTTGCATATATATTCATCAAGGATATTGGCCTGTAATTTTCTTTTCTTGTAGTATCCTTATCTGGTTTTGGTATCGGTAATGCTGGCCTCTTAAAATGAATTTGGAAGCATACTCTCCTTTTCTACTTTTTTGGAAGAGTTTGAGAAGGATTGGTGTTAATTATTCTTTGAATATTTAGTAGAATTTACCAGTGAAGCCATCTGGTCCTGGACTTTTTTTTTATTGTGATGTTTTTGATTACTGAGTCTGTCTCCTTCATAGGAATCGATCTATTCAGCTTTTCTATTTCTTCTTAATTCAGTCTTGAAAGGTTCTATGTTTCTAGGAATAGATCCATTTCTTCTAGGTTGTCCAATTTGTTTGTTGTATAATTGTCCATAGCAGTGTTTTATGATTCTTTGTATATCTGTGGTATCAGTTATAACATCTCCCTTTCATTTCTAATTTTATTTATTTGAGTCTTCTCTATTTTTTCTTAGCCTAGTTAAAGGTTTGTCAATTTTGTTTATCTTTTCAAAGAACCAGCGCTTAGTTTTATTGATCTTTTCTATTATCTTTTTAGTCTCTATTTTGTTTATTTCTGATCTGATCTTTATTATTTCTTTTCTTGTACTAACTGAGCTTCATTTGTTCTTTTTCTAATTCCTTGAGGTATAAAGTTAGGTTGTTTATTTGAGATTTTTCTTGTTTCTTGAGTTAGGAATTTCTTGCTGTGAACTTCCCTCTTAGAACTGCTTTTGCTACATCCCATAAATTTTGGTACGTTGTGTTTCCATTTACATTTGTCTCAAGGTATTTTTTGATTTCTCCTTTGATTTCTCCTTTGTCTCATTGGTTGTTCAATAGCATGTTGTTTGATCTCCACATATTTGTGAATTTTCCAGTTTTCTTCTTGTAATTGATTTCTAGTTTCATACCATTGTGGTTAGAAAAGATGCTTATTTCAATCTTCTTGAATTTATTAAGAGTTGTTTTGTGGCCTAGCATATGATCTGTCCATGAGAATGATCTGTGTGCACTTGAGAGGGATGTGTATTTTGCTGCTTTTGGATGGAATGTTCTGTATATAACTTTTAAGTCCGTCTGGTCTAATATGTCATTATATTGCCACATATATTTTATAAATTCCACTTTCTTAATTCTTTTCCTGTTCTTAATAGTTGGTTTACTGTTCATTTAGTTGATTTACTTATGTTTTCTGCAAATAGTTGTACTTTTACTTGTCATTTCCATTCTCACATCTTATTTACTTTTATTGTTTAATTGCAAGACTTGATATTTATTGATTTGCTGTCTATTAATCTAAGTCGTATTGGTCTATTATTTTCTATTTTGATAGAGTGTTTGTCAGATTTTGGTATTATTATTATGCTGCTTTTCTAAGAAGGAAATTGGAGGGCCTCCAGACTAGAGTGGATTCTAAACTTGTATTCTTATACATTACATAGTCATAGTATACCAAAGGAAAAGTTATCACCTTTGCATAATAGGGTGTGAATTAATTAGATTTGGCATTTTTGAAATAATTAAGATTATAGAGGTAATTACAGAGAATATTCTTTAGAACTTTGAGTTATATAGCAACAATTCCAATTTTATGGTCTGTAATTTCTCTCTATAAAGGTACGTTTTATTTTTCACTTTGATATCTCACTTCCTCCCATGTGAAACCTTTGCTTCTGCTCTGTCGGTCTGTCATTGTCCTCTGAGTAAACAGTGCTGTTCCTATCTTGACATTGCCATCCATGGTTTCATTTATTATTTCGTGTGTCAGTTGAACACCTTTGTTTTCTAAGCACTGTACAAAGTACTTGAGTTACCGTGGTTATGTGTCTCAAGGTGATGTCCTTTCTGATTTAAGGTGCTAACATGACATATTATGGTGGTTAAGGGGTTTAGAATTAGACAGACATGGGTTCAAATACTTCCTTTGCCACTTAGTAACATTATGACCTTGAGCATGTTTTTTAACATCTCTACACCTTAGTTTTCTCATCTGTAAAAGAGAAATACTAAATAATTCTTGTTTATAGTATTTCTATGTGAAGTTCCTGAGTTAATGTCTGTAAACTACTTTGCACAGTCTGGCACACAGTAAGTGTTCAATGTAGGTTATGGTAATTATTGTTAATACTATAACTATTTCTACCACAAAAATCATCAGACATGAAAAACATCTTTGGGTATCTTGTGACATTCCATACCATATCATTTTTCTAAAGTTGTAGTCCATGAAGAATCAAACTTTAAAAGCGTGCACCTCAGGCCAGCCCTGTGGCTTAGCGGTTGGGTGCGCGTGCTCCGCTGCTGGCGGCCCGGGTTCGGATCCCGGGTGCGCACCAACGCACTGCTTCTCCGACCATGCTGAGGCCGCGTCCCACATACAGCAACTAGAAGGATGTGCAGCTATGACATACAACTATCTACTGGGGCTTTGGGGGGAAAATAAATAAATAAATAAAATCTTAAAAAAAAAAAATAAATAAATAAAAGCATGCACCTCAATAGTTGAACTAGATTTGTTGAAAGAGATAAAAGTAATTCAGTATTCTCTAGTTATAGTATTAAATGTGGCCTCTGTTGAATATTTAAGTGAGCAAATTTTAATTTTATTAGTATTACATTTTAGATCTAGTGTTCTAAAATTGTTTCTTAGCTTCAGAATAAGAAATAGAATTTCTTTGTGTGTAGCGACTTAGCAGTTGGACACGGCTTTCCATTTTATTGTTTTGGCATCCTTTGCCTAAGTAAGGCTTATTAAATGAAATATTATTCACTGTATGGTAGTAAACACTTCAAGTTCTTCTTATACAATTTCTCTGGACTTTGCAAATGGCATGACTCAGTTCTCTGACCTCTTTTAGTATTGAAATGAGTTAATGAACCATTTGATTTACCTTTCACAATTTTGAAGACCAATAATGTCTGTAAGAAATGTCTTAATTTTTAAACCTCTTCTGGAATCTTAGGGCTGATTCTAGGAATCTTTAGATTTATTGGCACCTTCGATGAATGACCCTCAAGTGGAAAACTGCTCAAAGTGCTCAGATGGAGTTTGGACTCAACATTTTTATCTTGTAATATACAAAAAAAAGGGAGTGGGGAGACTATAATTGGGCTTAGTACTTGGAGCTCAAATTTTATATTCAAAGGTAGGAGAAATATGGAATTCATAGGATAAACTCTGAGCCAAAAGACAAAAGTATTTGAGATGAACCAAGTATGAAGAGAAAGTACTCTCACATCTTTTTCTTCTTTCTCTTTCCAAAACACAGTCACAGATTTGACGTCTTACAGCTAACAAATGGCCTAGCTGAAATATTTCACAGAAGAGAGGGCAGGATTTAGAGTAGTATTGTATTATTTTCCTTTTTAAAGCTGAAATTTTTCAATGTGTTTAATTGATTCATCTTTATCAAGTAGGACAGGGGTAAAACTTTAGAAAAGAAACTTACTTATAACCCTATTAAATATAATATCTTCAGAGTAGTGGTAAAAATGAGAAATAAAAACCTTAAAAAATTAAAATGATTGAACACAGTAGGATCCAGGGTTAGTATAGGAAAGGTCCCTGGAACCCTGAAACATTCATGTGAAGACCAAACAGGCATATGCTGATAATCTTGACAAGGACTGCTTTGGTTGGAGGGGTTAGGGCAGAAGTCCCATTTACATGAGTTCAAGAGAGAACAGGAGAGTAGGTAGAGGCAGTAAGTTTAGTAAGGATCATTGCTAAAAAGGAAGTAGAGTAATGGGGGATAGCTAGAGAGAGAGGTAGGGTTAAGGAAGAGGTTTTTTGCTATTTTTTTTTTTTTTGTGAGGAAGATCAGCCCTGAGCTAACATCCATGCTAATCCTCCTCTTTTTGCTGAGGAAGACCGGCTCTGAGCTAACATCTATTGCCAATCCTCCTCCTTTTTTTTGTTCCCCCAAAGCCCCAGTAGATAATTGTATGTCATAGTTTCACATTCTTCTAGTTGCTGTATGTGGGATGTGGCCTCAGCATGGCCGGAGAAGCAGTGCGTCGGTGCACGCCTGGAATCCGAACCTGGGCCGCCAGTAGCGGAGTGCACGCACCTAACCACTAAGCCACGGGGCTGGCCCTATTGTTTTGTTTTTTAACCCTGGGAAATATTAGAACATGTTTGCTTATGGGTGGATATTGTCTGTTAAAAAGGGACAGTTAGTCACGTAGGAGAGATTGGGGCAATTTTTCCAGCATTGACTTTAGGTTGGCAAGAAGTGATGGGAGCCACTGTATAAGTTCAGGGTTTGTTTTTAGATAAAAACTTGGACAGTTCATCCGTGGTAACATGTGAGAGAGCAGAATATATGGAAATAAATGTAGGTAGGTTATTTATCTAATTATAAGAGAGGTGGAGATTTTCTTCTAACTGCTTTTATTTTTCAGTGAATTTTCCAGGTCTTCAACTGACAGTATCTGAGAGAGGGGAGAGGAAATGGACTAGGGAAAGGAAAAGGAAAGAAAGCTCCAGGAGACCAAATATCCCAACCAAAACCCCTGGCCTGCTTTGCATGTTTGTACTGCCCACTTGGCCCTTGAAGTTATTATTGGGATCCTGATTATACTCTTTTCTCTGTTTTGGAGAATTACTTCTATCTTATCTCTCAACTCCTTTTTGTGGGGGGAAATCAAAAATAGCTATTCCTCTGGACAAGGTTAGATATCTGTTGTGTCCTAATAAAAACCTAAGTAAACAACAAAGTATTTTGTGATAGTCTTCTATGTCTAGATATATCCAATTGCTCAGTTGTATTTATTCTTATTAACTGCAGTGTCAAAAATTAAAGAATGGAACTATTGGTATTCTAGATTTCACTTTGGGGTTCTTTTCATTTAAAAAAAATATATCATAAATTTCTTTCTTCTTCGTTTAGATGTTCTTAATAGTTGCTCCTCTTTCTGTCCTCTACAACTGGAAGGATGAATTGGACACCTGGGGATATTTCAGAGTTACAATTTTACATGGTAACAAAAAAGACAATGAACTGATTCGTGTAAAGCAGAGGAAATGTGAAATTGCTCTAACAACTTATGAAACACTGCGCTTATGTCTAGATGAATTTAACAGGTAATGGGAATAATGGGGATGATTGGATTAATATTCTGCTTACATCAATTGTGTTTATCCCTTTATATTGTAATTTTTTAAAGCTCTAAATACTTTTTAGCATGGTTTAATTTCATTTCAGAATTATTGAAATAGACAGTTTATAATAATTAACTTATTTTCTAAGAAGGAAAAGCCTGCATCAGATTTCCACAGTTCCTTATTTTATTTCCTCTATTACCTCTCCAAACAATGCCTGTTAAAGAATAATAAGACTTTTCCAAAATCTAGTGTACAACCTTTTGTGCATATGGTGCCTCCAGAATAAGACGATGATTTTCATGAATGATTTTAATTATGGGAGTCTGTTGTGAATGTAGAGTGGAAAAAAAAATACATATGCACGTTGAGAACCACGGTTCTAGGACTACAAGTACCCAAAAGAAATGAACTGGTTTATGCCTACTGGCATCTTAAGATTTTAGTGGGAATCTAGAGACAGGCATTTATAAAGTCATGTGAGTGCTGTGAAATGGAACAGAGGATGCTATGGGAGCACATGAGGAGCCGAAGTCTGCTGCAGTGAGGAGAGTCGTCAGGGAGCTTCCCAAAGAAGATGACCTGTGAGCTGAGTGAGAATTGAAGGATCAGTAAGAGTTGAAGAGTAGGAGAGTAATCCAGAAAGAGGGAACAAACAGCATTTGCAGAGGCCTTCAGACAACAAAGATCACAACATTTTTGAATAAATGAAATCAGATGCTTTCTGCATCTGATAGCTCCAGCCTAGATTGTAAGAGGGAAGTAACCGGGAGACAACACCGGTGTGGTAAGCGAGGAACGGATCATAAAGAGCATTGAAAGCTGCCTAGAGGATTTTGGTCTTTATCCTTAGAGCGGTCAAGTGCCACTGACATGTTTTCAGCAGATTACTAGTATGATAAAAATGATCAGATATGCATTTTATAAGTAACCCAACTGCTGTGTGTGCAGACAGAGGAGAGCCAAATTGAATGGAGAAAGACCAATTAGGAGGCTTATTATGAGCTAAATTGTGTCCCCTCCAAATTCATATGTTCAAGTCCCAACTCCAAGGACCTCAGAATGTAACTGTATTTGAAGATAAGATCCTTAAAGAGGTAATTAATTTAAAATGAGGCCATTAATGTGGGATCCTAGTCCATTCTGATTGGTGTCCTTAGAAGAAGAGAAAGAGACACCAGGAACTCACAGGCACAGAAGAAATGACACATGAGAACACAGCAAGAAGGCAGCCATCTATAAACAAGGAGGGAGGCCTCAGAAGAAACCAAACCTTCCAACACCTTGGTCTTGTGTCACCTGAACTCTTGTGTCTGGCATCTTTTGCTTATCATATTTTTGAGATTCATCCATGTTATTGAATGTATCAGTGATTGTCCTTTTTTAATGCTGAATTGTTTTGCATTTTATGAATATATTACATTTTGTTACCCATTCAAGAATGGATATTTGGGTTTTCCAGTGTTTGGTTATTAGAAGTAAAACTTGAAGGAATATTTATATATAAGCCTTTCTTTTGACATACATTTTATTTTTCTTGGGTAAATACCTAGGAGTGGAATTTCTGGGTTATATGGTAAGTATAGGTTTAAGTTCAGAAGAAACTGCCAAACTTTTCCAGAGTGGTTGTACCATTCTACTCCAACTAGCAATCTATGAGAGTTCAGTTGCTTCATATACTCACTAACATTTGTTATCATCAGTCTTTTTGTTTTTACCTATTTTAGTGTGTGTCTAGTGGTATCTCATTATAGTATAATTTGCATTTTTCTGATCTCTATACACTTGGAAAAATGTTTATTCTACACTTGTTGGGTATAGTGTTCTGCAAATATCAAAGTCAGGTTGGTTAGGTGTTATTCAAGTGTTGTCTGTCTTTACTGATTTTCTTTCTTGTTAGTTTACAGTTTCTGAGAGAGGAATGTTGAAATCTTCAATTATAAATGTGGATTTATTTCTCCTTCCAGTTCTGTCAGCTTTCAATTCATATATTTTGAAGTTCAGTTATTAGGTACATACATTTATGATTGGTATTTTTTCCTTATGAATTGATCCTTTTATATTTAAAAAATGCTCCTTTTTATATCTAATAATCTTCAAGTTCTATCTGATATTAATAAAGACAATACAGTCTTCTTATGCTTACTGCATGTTTATCATTTTCCTTCTTTTTATTTCAAAATATCTATTCTTTATATTTAAAGTGATATTTATATTTAAAGTTATATTTAACTCACTTTAAATTGTATGCTCTTGTGGTTAGCATATAGTTGTGTCTTGCTTTTTTTATCCATTCGATAATCTCTGCCTTTTATTTGGAGTGTTTAGTCCATTTACATTTAATGTAATTATTAGTAAAGTTGGATTTAGAGCTACCATTTTTGTCAGCTCTAAGATTTGATTTTTACCCCATTTACAAGTTAATAAGTTAACCTATTACAGAAGACAGAAGTAATCTGAGGCATGGAAAAGTTAAGTAACTTGCCCAAGCCTACAACAAAGTCAGTGGTGGACATGAAATTTAAACCTTTAAACCATCTAACTCCAGACCTTTGGCTTTTATTCAATATATTATACCACCACGAATGATGTTCTTCAGTTAGATAAATGTAATAAGAAATTCGCTTATCATAGCCAGTCATATTTTAATTTTTAAAAAACCATTACCATTTTAGACTGTGAGGTCTTTGACATAGGGTAATTTCTGTATTTCAGGACTTATTACACTTCTAGCACATAATAGTTGCTGGATAAATGTTTGTCAAGTGGTTATATCCTGTGATTGTTATAAATATTAAATAAGAATTCTAAAGTAGAATTATGTAAATATAAGTCAGGTTTCTGTGTAAAATTAGAAAAATCAAATTTTAGAATTTTTGTTATATTTAGCTTTCCTTTGACTAGCTTTATTTTGACAAGTGTTCAAAACAACTTATATTTCATCTGAGTAAATATTCAGGAATTTTTGTGAGAATAATGCTCTGTATGATAGACCAGGATTAAACATTTATCATAGGTAATCCACAGAGTAGATAGACACATTGTATAATACAGTGAGTTGTATCTCTTTTTGTTATTACTGTTATGTTTTCCTTCATTTTTATTTTTATCAAAGTTATATATGCATATTACTTAAAGAGCCAAGTATGAAAAACTGTGGTTCACTTTTGCCCATCACCCCCAGTACTTGTTCTTCAGAGACAACCACCTTCAACTCTTGTATTTATCTTCATAGTTTTTACCTCCACATCTCTAAAGAACATGTTTATGCTGCAACTTTAATATTTTTCTTTAGTTTTCAACATCGCCTGTTGATTTCTCCTTAAGGAAAATGAAGATTTTTCTGTATTTTCCCCTTCTTTTGCTCACTTTAGGGTGACCTGGCTCGGCTATTTTGTGGAGTAGGGATTAGTATCTAGAAGATTCAACTACTTCTTAAACAGACTGTTGAACATTTACGTAACTCTAAATTCCAGAGGCATCTGGTGCCACCAATTCCTAGCTTTTTAAGAGCTCAATAATATGAATCAGATTGCTTCTTAGCTTTCTCCACTACTGGCATAGGATACTGCTGTCTCTAATTTTGTAAGTCATCTTGTTCATCTTCTTCCCAGCTTCTGAAATTTTTGGTGGTTTTCTCCTTTTTCTCTTTGTTCTCTTGTTCTTTTTCAACTTGATATTAAGAAAATTATCAAACCTATAGAAAAATTGAAGTAATTGTACATGAAGATCCATATACTCAGTACCTAGATTCACCAGTTGTGTACATGTATGTGTATTCAAATGTTGGCAAAATATAAGTTAACGTATGTATGTCTATGTCTATGTACGGTGGTAGTATTGAGTCATTTCAGTAAGTTGTATATGACATGACAATTTTATCTCTAAATATTTTAGCATGAATCTCCTAAAACTAATGCTATTCTTTCTCATACCATGTTATCATTGTCACATCGAAGAAAATTAACATCAATTAAAACTTCCTCAGTTATCTTCAAAATATCTTTAATATCTAATATTTGCAAAGTGGTATTCAATAAAGGTTCAGATGATGGATTTGATTATTAAGTCTGTTTAGTCTCTTCTAATCTAGAATTTTCCCCCAACTTTATTTTTTTATTATATGACATTTTGAGGGACCATGCCAGTTGTCTTTTAGGATGTCTCATGTGATAGAATTGTCTGATTGCTTTCTCAAGGAGTTGTATATTCCTCTAACATCTGTATTTCTGTGAGCTGATTTTGGTCTAAAGGCTTAATTAGATTCAGGTTAAACATTTTTGACAAGAATACTGCATAAATGATGCTATAGACTTCATATTACATTACCTCAAGAGATATTAATTTCAGGTTGTTCCACTATTAATAATGCCAAGCTTGTCCCACAGGCTAAGGAAGTGATCATCAGATCTCTCCTTTATAAAGATATGTTTCTTCCTTTACAATTAGAAGTAATTTATAGGGTGATGATGTGCCACCATTTGAATATTCTGGTCCATCAGTCCTTTTACTTAGTGGTTTAGCGTGAAATTATTGTGGTTTAACAGAAATTATTCTTACCTGAATCAGTTATTGTATTGGGTTTTGCAAAATAATATTTTCCTAAATTTATCATTTCTTCTACACTTATTAACTGACATTTTCCTATAATTAGGAATTAACTACAATTTCAGCTAAAAAAAAGCAAGGTGAATGCTTGATTCTTTTGCTTTAATTACCAATTTTCAGACTAAGATGTTGGCATAGTGCTCATCTACAATGGTAGCAAAGTTTCTCTCCCACTCCCCGTTTTTTTGAGTATCACTATGGACTCATGGATTGTTGAGGTACAACTCATACACCATAGAATATAAGTATAAAATAATTTTTAGTAAATTTATAAAGTTATGCAGTTATCACCACAATACAGTTTTAGAACATTTCCATCACCTCAAGAAGTTTTTTGTTTACAGTCAATCTCTTGTCCCATCTCCAGTTCCAAGCAACCACCAGTCTGCTTTCTGTCTCTATAGATTTGCATTTTCTGGAAATTTCAAATAAAGGGAATCATACAATACATAGTCTTTTGGGTCTGGCTTCTTTTACTTAGTATCATGTTTTTGAGGTTCACGTTCTAGCATGTTTCAGTAGTTTGTTCCTTTTTTATTCCTGACCAGTACTATTGTATGTATATACTTCGTTTTGTTTATCCATTCACCAATGGATGGACATTTGGATTGTTTCCGGTTTTTGACTATTATGAATAATGCTGCCTTGAATGTTTACATACAAGTCTTTGTGTGGATGTAAGTTGTCATTTCTCTTGGATAGATACCTAGGAATGGAATTGCTGGGTGGTTTAAGAAATTTACCTTTTTAAGAAACTGTCAAACTGTTTTAGAAAAGTAGCTGCACTTTCCCCAAAACAGTGTATGAGGATTCCAGTTTCCCTACATCCTTGCCAACTCTTGATATTGTCAATCTTTTTTGATTACAGCCATTCATATGAGTTTGCAGTTATATCTTGCGGTTTTAATTTGCATTTCTCTAATGACTAATGATATTGAGAACCTTTTCATGTGCTTATTTGGTCTTCGTATATCTTTTTTGGTGAAATGTCTATTAAAACCTTTTACCTATCCTTTAAATTGGATTGTTCTAGCTTGTATTGAGTTGCAATAGTTGTTTATATATTCTGTATACAAGTTCTTTACCAGGTTATGATTTGCAAATATTTGCTCCCAGTCTGTAGCATGTCTTTTCATTTTCATAATGGTGTCTTTGGAAGAGTAAAGGTTTTTAACTTTAATCAAGTCCAACTTATCAAAAATTTTTTATTGACTTATTTGATGTATCTAAGAAATTTATGCCTAACACAGAGTCACAAGATTTTTATAGTTTTACCTCTAAATATAGATATTTAGATCTGTGATCCATTTTGAGTTAATTTTTGTGTATGGTATGAGCTAAAAGTCTAAAATAATTTTTTTTTTTGTAGAACTCCTGAGTTTTTATTTATTCAATGTTTTAAACTCAATTATAGTTAGTATTCTTAAGGATGCTCAAATTTTCTAATTAGCCTAGCTCCTGTGTCCTTTGGACATATGCCTCCATTTGTCTTTGGATACATCTGTGCTTTCTAGCTCTTCAGTATTTCCCCTGCTGCATGCCTGAATTCAACCATTTCTCCATGGGGCTCTGGTTCCTTCTAATGGATTGACCTCTATGGGTGCTCATTGCAACTGGGGTAACAACTGATTCTAAACCTTTTTAGCAGACAGAGCTATGTAATACAACTTTTTTAAATCATGAGTTTATATTGATCTTTTTTCATTCAGATTTAACATTGCAGATTTTTCTTCTTTATGTTTATTTCTCTGGTTTATTGCTTAAAAATTCCTTTTTTGTTATTTTAGTGATATTTAAGTGAGTTTTTTCATTCTACCATCATTAAATAGAATCTCTATATGCTTTTGTCTCCCTATACATTTTATATTCATAGTTTGTCCAAACCTGCGGCCATTTAACTAGCCAGGTGAGAATCCTATGGAATCATGAAAGAGCAAAGAGGGACAGAACCTCAAAACTTGGGTAGAGAAAACTGCTCCCTAAAAATTATAAAGACTGTAAAAGGGAAGTTTTCTCATCTTTTCCCCCCTTTTTCTTACTTTACAGTTTGGAATGGTCAGCTGTCATTGTGGATGAAGTTCATAGAATCAAGAATCCAAAGGCTAGAGTAACAGAAGTTATGAAAGCTTTAAAATGTAGTGTCCGCATTGGCCTCACTGGAACCATTCTTCAGAACAACATGAAAGAACTGTGGTGTGTTATGGACTGGTGAGTGAAAGAAAACACAAAACACTTCTTATTTTTTTGAAAATTACTTGATACCTCTTTAACTTAATGTTGACTTGTTTGCTAATTATTAGTTTCAGGAAAAAAAATTGTCTGTTTACAGCACTGTTTGATCTCAAACATAGTATACAGAATAGAGAGTCCCATGAAAACTGATCTTTATGTATTATTCTTAGTTCCTGAAGTAAATATCCCAACTAATTTACCGATTCCATCATCTTCTTATAGTTATTTACTGAAACAGTCGTAAAGAGAGAACATTCTGTTTTCTTGCCTTTTGTTATTATCATTAATAAACAAATGACTTGATATATTTCTTAGAACAAAAAGAAGTCAATATTTTTCTTTTTAGATACTTTAATAAAGCCCTAACATTTTTCTTATTGCCTTTATAAAGGGCTGTGCCAGGACTTTTAGGTAGCAGGATCAACTTCAAGAAGCAGTTTTCTGACCCAGTAGAACATGGTCAGAGACACACAGCAACAAAGAGAGAACTAGCTACTGGCCGAAAGGCCATGCAAAGGCTTGCAAAAAAGATGTCTGGATGGTTTCTCAGGCGTACCAAGATTCTAATCAAGGATCAGTTGCCTAAGAAGGAAGACCGGGTGAGAACTGCGTTTGTGTATATTATTAATTTCTTGTCATGTTTTATTTTTTTTGAAAAAATGTCTTTTTAAGAGGAAATATATCTCCTTTGGTATTTTATGAATATAGTTTTTTCCTTTTTATTCTGTGTGAAAAAAATCGTTATACATATATATATATGTATATACATATATATATATATATGCAGGATTTCAGAAAACATTAATTGAGCCCAATTGTTTTCCTTACTAACCTTACTAATCTGTTAGCTAACAGGTTTATTGTTAGTATACATTAAACTCATTTATTTTATTTTAGAACAAGAAGGCTTTTGATATAATTCCTCCTTAATGAAGAAAGAACTTCCCTCCCTAATGTGTTTTCTGTTCATATTTTGTCCTTCCTATACTGTCTAGCATCTGTAACCCACGGTATACTTTGGTACCTTAATTCTAGCTGCAGGACTAAAGTGGTTAAAAAGTCTTTTTTATAGATTTATTTCTTGTAGAATGCTATTTGCATTTACACAACTAATCTAATTTTAAGAATTTGTTGGAAAATTACAATTAAATTCTGTTAATTGTTTATGAAAATTTGAGGAGTTGATCTTAAGAGGATTTTTTTTAAATATAGTAGTCCTCTTTTATAGTTTTTAATCTTGTGGTTCTTCTACCTCAGGCAGTGGAATAAAGGTTCTGTAAATTACTATGAACTAAATCTAAATAATGTTGTCCCAAATAAAGTTGATCCTATCAAAATAGTCTTAGGATATCTCGTTGATTATTACATTTTTTTAAATTTTATTGTGGTCACATTGGTTTATAACATTGTATAAATTTCAAATATATGTCATTATACTTCTATTTCTGTATAGATTACCTCATGTTCACCACCCAAAGACTAATTACAACCCATCACCACACACGTGCCTAATCATCGCTTTTGCCCTCCTTCCTCCCCACTTCCCCTCTGGTAATCACCAATCCAACCTCTGTCTCTATGTGGTTGTTTGTTGTTGTTTTATCTTCTACTTATGAGTGAGATCATACGGTATTAGACCTTCTCCCTCTGACTTATTTCACTTAGCATAATACCCCTAAGATCCGTCCATGTTGCCACAAATGGCTGGATTTCATCGTTTCTTATGGCTGAGTAGTATTCCATTGTGTATATATACCACATCTTCTTTATCCATTCGTCCCTTGATGGGCATCTAGGTTGCTTCCAAGTCTTGGCTATTGTGAATAATGCTGCAATGAACACAGGGGTGCATGTATCTTTACACATTGGTGTTTTCATATTCTTTGGATAAATACCCAGCAGTGGAATAGCTGGATTGTATGGTAGTTCTATCCTTAGTTTTTTCAGGAATCTCCATACTATTTTCCATAGTGGCCGCACCAGTTTGCACTCCCACCAGCAGTGTGTGAGAGTTCCCTTCTCTCCACATCCTCTCCAACACTTAATGTTTCCTGTCTTGTTAATTATAGCCATTCTGATGAGAGTGAGGTGATATCTCATTGTAGTTTTGATTTGCATTTTCCTGATAGTTAATGATGTTGAACATCTTTTCATGTGCCTGTTGCCCATTGTATATCTGCTTTGGTGAAATGTCTGTTCAGGTCTTTTGCCAGTTTTTTAACTGGGTTGTTTTTTCGTTGTTGAGATGTATGAGTTCTTTATATATTTTGGATATTAACCCCTTATCAGATATATGGTTTGCAAATATCTTCTCCCAATTGTTAGGTTGTCTTTTTGTTTTGTTGATGGTTTCCTTTGCTGTGCAGAAGGTTTTTAGTTTAATGTAGTCCCATTTGTTTATTTTTTCTATAGTTTCTCTTGCCCAGTCAGACATGGTACTTGAAAATATGCTGCTAAGACCGAGGTTGAAGAGTGTGCTTCCTATATTTTCTTCTAGAAGTTTCGTGGTTTTAGGTGTTACATTCAAGTCTTTAATCCATTTTGAGTTAATTTTTGTGTATGGTGTAAGGTAAGGGTCTACTTTCATTATTTTGCATGTGGCTGTCCAGTTTTCCCAGCACCATTTGTTGAAGAGACTTTCCTTTCTCCACTGTATGTTCTTGGTTCCTTTGTCAAAAATTAGCTGTCCATAGATGTGTGGGTTTATTTCTGGGCTTTCAATTCTATTCCATTGATCTGTGTGTCTGTTTTTGTGCCAGTACCATGCTATTTTGGTTACTATAGCTTTGTAGTATATTTTGAAATCAGGGAGTGTGATATCTCCAGCTTTGTTCTTTTTTCTCAGGATTCCTTTTGCTATTTGGGGTCTTTTGTTGTTTCATTTAAATTTAAGATTCTTTGTTCTATTTCTGTGAAAAATGTTATTGAAACTTTGATAGGGATTGCATTGAATCTATAGATTGTTCTAGGAATTATGGACATCTTAACTATGTTAATTCTTCCAATGCAAGAGCATGGAATATCTTTCCATTTCTTTGTGTCTTCTTCAATTTCTTTCAACAATGTTGTATAGTTTTCAGTGTACAGATCTTTCACCTCTTTGGTTAAGTTTATTCCTAGGTATTTTATTCTTTTTGTTGCAATTGTAAATGGAATTGTGTTGTTAATTTCTCTTTCTTCTGCATCATTATTAGTGTATAGAAACGGAACTGATTTTTTTATGTTGATTTTGTATCCTGCAACTTTGCCGTATTCATTTATAATTTCTAAAAGTTTTTTGGTAGATTCTTTAGGGTTTTCTATATATAAAATCATGTCATCTGCAAATAGTGACAGTTTCACTTCTTCCTTTCCAATTTGGATCCCTTTTATTTCTTTTTCTTGCCTGATTGCTCTGGCTGGGACTTCCAATACTGTGTTAAATAGGAGTGGTGAGAGTGGGCATCCTTGTCTGGTTCCTGTTCTTAGAGGGATTGCTTTCAGTTTTTCACCGTTGAGGATGATATTGGCTGTGGGTTTGTCATATAAGCCCTTTATTATGTTGAGGTACTTCCCTTCTATACCCATTTTATTCAGAGTTTTTATCATAAATGGGTGCTGTATCTTGTCAAATGCTTTTTCTGCGTCTATTGAGATGATCATTTGATTTTTATTCTTCATTTTATTAACTTGGTGTATCATGTTGATTGATTTGTGGATGTTGAACCATCCCTGCATCCCTGGAATAAATCCCACCTGATCATGGTGTATGATCTTTTTAATGTAGTGTTGTATGCAATTTGCTAGTATTTTGTTGAGGATTTTTGCATCGATGTTCATCAGTGATATTGGTCTGTAATTTTCTTTTTTTGTGTTGTCCTTGTCTGGTTTTGGTATTGGGGTAATGTTGGCTTTATAGAATGAGTTAGGAAACTTCCCGTCCTCTTCAATTTTTTGGAAGATTTTGAGAAGGGTAGGTATTAAAACTTCTTTCAATGTTTGGTGGAATTCACAAGGGAAGCCATCTGGTCCTGCACTTTTATTTTTGGGGAGGTTTTGATTACTGTTTCAATCCCCTACTGGTGATTGGTCTATTCAAAAGGATATAATACTCGTAAATATCTATGCACCCAACATAGGAGCATCTAAATTTATAAAGCAATTATTAACAGACATGAAAGGAGAAATAGACAGTAACACAATAGTTGTAGGGGACTTTAATACTCCACTTCCACCAGTGGATAGGTCATCCAAGCAGAAGATCTATAAGGAAACTTTGGCCTTAAACAACACACGAGAATAGATGGACTTAGTAGATATATACAGAACATTCCATCCAAAAACCGAAGAATACACATTCTTTTCAAATATACATGAAACGTTCTCCAGGACCGATCACATATTAGGCCACAAAACAAGTCTCTATAAATTTAAGAAGATTGAAATAATACCAAGCATCTTTTCTGACCACAATGATATGAAACTAGAAATCAACTATAGGAAGAAATTCAGAAAAGCCACAGATATGTGGAGATTAGACACAATGCTGCAGAACAACATTGGGTCAATGAAGAAATCAAAGGAGAAATCAGAAAACACCTGGAGACAAATGAAAATGAAAATACGACATGCCAGAATTTATGGGATATAGCAAAAGTGGTTCTAAGAGGGAAGTTTATAGCAATACAGGCCTATCTCAACAAACAAGAAAAATTTCAAATAAACAATCTAACAGTGCATTTAAAGGAACTGGAAAAAGAAGAACAAACAAAGCCCAAAATCAGTAGAAGGAGGGAAATAATAAAAATCAGAGCAGAAATAAATGAAATAGAGACTAAAAAACAATAGAAAAAATTAATGAAACCAAGAGTTGGTTCTTTGAAAAGATACACAAAATTGATAAACCTTTAACTAAACTCACCAAGAAAAAAAGAGAGAAGGTTCAAATAAATAAAATCAGAAATGAAAGAGGAGAAATTACAACAGACACCTCAGAAATACAAAAGATTATAGGAGAATACTACGAAAAGCTATATGCTAACAAATTGGATAATCTAGAAGAAATGAATAAATTCTTAGAATCATACAACCCTCCAAAACTGAATCAAGAAGAAATAGAGAATTTGATTATTACTTTAAAAAGATAGTTTTGAAAGGAAAATATGATACTGATATGCAAGTTGGGGAAATTGATAAAACATTTGGCTTTTTGATCTAAAGTAACTATTATTTAATGGGAATACTTCATGAACCCCTCCCACTTTTTGAATTTTTTTCTGCAATTTTATGTCCATTACTTAGTTGTCTATCTAGTAGGAACAATAAACCATAAATATATGAAGAGAGGGTTGTACATAGAGGTTTAGAGCTTGGGCTAAAAAAAATCAAACACCATGGGCTTGAATTCTGGCTCCCCTGCCTATGAGTTTTGTGACCTTGAGCAATTTGAAAAGTCTTTCCAATCTTGGTTTCTTTATCTCTTAAATGGGAATGATGATAACAGTGCCTCCCTCACATGGTTGCTCTGAAATGTGACATGTAAGAAGTGTTCAGTAAATGTTACTACATGTTTTTTTGGTTTTCTTTTTTTTGCTGAGGAAGACTTGCCCTGAGCTAACATCTGTGCCAATCTTCCTCTATTTTGTATGTGGTTCGCTGCCACAGCATGGCTGCCAACGAGTGGTGTAGGACCGCACCCAGGAACCAAACCTGGGCCACCAAAGCAGAGCATGCCAAACTTAACCACTAGGTCCCTTACTACATGTTTTAATAATAACAACTCAAAGATAAAATACTTAGAAATAAATTTAACCAAGGAGGTGAAAGACCTGTACACTGAAAACCATAAGACATTAATGAAAGAAATTGAAGAAGACACAAATAAATGGGAAGATATCCCATATTCATGGATTGGAAGAACTAATATTGTTAAAATGTCCATACTACCCAAAGCCATCTATAGATTCAATGGAAACTCTATCAAAATTCCAATGGCATTTTTCATGGAAATAGAGAAAACAATCCTAAAATTTGTATCGAACCACAAAAGACCCTGAACAGCTGAAGGAGTCCTGAGAAAGAAGAACAAAGCTAGAGACATCACACTTCCTGATTTCAAACTATACTACAAAGCTATTGTAATCAAAAAAGTATGGTACTGGCATAAAAACAGACACATAGACCAATGGAATAGAATAAAGAGCCCAGAAATAAACCCGTGCATATACAGTCAACTAATATTTGACAAGGGAGCCATGAATATTCAATGGAGAAAAGATAATCTTTTCAATAAATGGTGTTGGGAAAACTGGGTATTCACATGAAAAAAGGTAAAATTGGACTCCATCTTACACCATTCGCAAAAATTAACTCAAAATGGATTAAAGACTTAAAAGTATGACCACAGACCATAAAATTCCTAGAAGAAAACAAGGAAAAAGCTCCTTGACATTGGTCTTGGTGACGATTTTTTGGATATGACATCAAAAGCACAAGGAACAAAAGCAAAAATAAACAAGTGAGACTATATCAAACTAAAAAGCTTCTGTACAGCAAAAGAAACAATCAATAGAATGAAGAGGCAACCTACAGAATGGGAGAAAATATTTGCAAACCATGTATCTGATAAGGGATTAATATCCAAAACATATAAAGAACTCATACAACCCAATGGCAAAAAAACAAATAATCTGATTTAAAAATGGACAGAGGATCTAATGGACATTTTTCTAAAGAAGACGTACAGATGGCCAACAGGTACATGAAAAGATGCTCAACATCACTGGTCATCAGGGAAATGCAAATCAAAACCACAGTGAGTTATCACCTCACACCTGTTAGAATGGCTATTATCAAAAAGACAAGAGATAACAAGTGTTGGTTTTGATGTGGAGAAAAGGAAATCCCGATGCACTATTGACGGGAATGTAAATTGGTGCAGCCACTATGGAAAACAGTATGGAGACTCCTCAAAAAATTAAAAATAGAACTACCAAATGGTGCAGCAATCCCACTTCTGGGTATATATTCGAAGGAAATGCTGTCACTCTCTAAGAGATATCTGAACTCTCATGTTCATTGCAGCATTATTCACAATAGCCAAGACATGGAAACAACCTAAGTGTCTGTCAACAGATGAATGGATAAAGAAAATATGGTAGATGTATATAATGGAATATTAGCCATAAAAAATTAGGAAATCTGTCAATTGTGACAACATGGAGGGACCTTGAGGGCATTATGCTAAGTGAGATAAGTCAGACAAGGATAAATATTGTATGATCTCACTTATATGTGGACTATTAAAAGAAAAAAAACGCCATAGTCGTAGAAACAAGAGAGTAGAATGGTGGTTGCCGGGGCTCAGTGGGTAGGGGAAATGGGGAGATGTTGGTCAAAGGGTACAAACTTTCAGTTATAAGATGAGTAAGTTCTGGGGATCTAATATACACCATGGTGACTATAGTTAACAATACTGTATTGTATATATACTTGCAAGTTGCTAAGAGAATAGATCTTAAATGTTCTCAGCACACAAAAAAATGTAATAAGGTGAAATGATGGATGTGTTAAATAACCTTATCGTTGTAATAATCATTTTGCAATATATACTGTATCAAATCATCACATTGTACACCTTAAACTTACACAATGTTATATGTCAATTATATCTCAGTAAATCTGGGAAAAATAATAATAACTCAAAATTTCCTCCATACCTAATCATTGTCCTCCATCTTCTGTATTCTCTTTTTATTTTTATATGTACTATTGTATTCAAAGTAGAGTCAAGATATGGCTAATATTTTTTTATACATTTTTTAAAAATCTACCATTGTTTTATATAGACATCCCTGTATTTGCTCAGTTGCATATATTTGTCATTTTTTTTGCAATAATATTCTGTTGTAGTGATATACACATACTAATATTTATAATAGATGGCTTTTCTCTCTTAATCACATTCCTCAAAGTCCTATTATGGGTATATTTAGTTTTATGACCCTAATTACATACAGCTATAACTAGAAGAATTTTATTAATTTCTGTGCTACCAGAAATATAAGGTAAGTTGTATCCCTCATAGCTTAGTGGCATTATTTTATCATATTTTCTTCTTTTCTTGAATTTGGGCACAAAATAGCAACTTGTAGTTACTTTTATGTGTATTTACTTAATTCTTATGTTTACAAATCCTAGTAATTTATAGCAAGCTATTAAATACAAATCCTTTATCTCGTTTTCAGTAATATGAAGCTTTTTCTATTTTTCTAAGTTTTCAAGTAATTCAGTAAGTGTTATCCATACTATTGTTCTAAAGTGTTCCCTTTTTTCCTTATCTAGTTTTTAATTTGACCTAAACTTTAATCATTTATTTGCATGATGGGCTAATAATCTAGAACCCTGAAAAGACTAACAATATATTGAGAAATATATATGGAGATCGCAAAACTTGTTTTTTCATATTTTGATTCCTTTTAATTAAAAAACAAACTCTATGAGATTTGTTTGAAAATAAAGTTATAATACATAAACTTTAGGGTAGGATGGTGGCAAAGAATATAGGACAATTGGGAGAAATTGTCATAATGATGTGTCTAGAAGAAAAATAGATTAGCTTATGAGCAATTTTCACTATTACAATCTATGAAATCTGATGTGCTTTGTAATTATTACTGCTGTAAAAAAAGGCACTAATGATTACCTTGTGTTCTGTCTTGGCAGATGGTGTATTGTTCTCTGACAGATTTTCAGAAAGCTGTCTATCAAACTGTATTAGAAACAGAAGATGTGACTTTGATACTTCAGTCTTCTGAGCCTTGTACCTGCAGCAGTGGCCGAAAAAGGAGAAATTGTTGTTATAAGGCAAGCTGTTCAGTATGATATCTTTACTATCTTGCTTTTGATTATGTAGTACTCTAGTCTAGTGTCAGGATAAGTAGCAGATAAAATAACTTTTCCTCAGATAGTTCTTTAATTTTAGAAGCCATAAGTTAATAAATAGGAATAGTTTTCAAAAATATTTTACAGTATCAAATAGTAATCACAGCAAAATACAATATTCAAATATCTTTTCAAAAAACTAGTATTTGAAAGTAGCTTCAATTTGATATTCTCTGTTTCAACTTTTATTAGGAAGTATCCTACTTTCATGTTCAAATTTCATTTCATTTTCAGGAAGTTTCTCATTATCTGCTAATATTAAACTGACTTACTCTTTGATAGCAGGCTTCAAGTATTGTTCTGATGTGAGATAGAGTTAATTTGATAGAAAGTATGTATCAGTACAATAATGTATTTTATTTTTATTTAGAAACAAATATTCATTTGTACTTTTTTTAAACCTTCTATCTACATTTCCTGCCCTTTTTCACCTATTTTATCAAGTTATCTGTCACATATCCATGTACATAGAAGGACCCTAAATAAATGTTTATCTAGGTTGATATTTATTTCATCTCTCATTTATTTCGCTGTTTTTAACCACTTCACTTTTTGGTAATAGCATGATTTCCTAGGAAACCTTGGCATGTAAATGAGAGTTGAGAGTAAGGGATCTGTGTGACACTGCCTCGAAACCATGGAGCCTCTTATGGCAGCATTTCTATCACTGTGTATCCTGAGGACAGATGCTTTCTGGAATGAGGACTTTCTCCCCTCTTTTATTAAAAACATCACTGTATTATGGTTCATCAAAAGTATGATTACACATTAGTGATTCATGGATATTTTGTGTAACAGCTGACCATCATTTTCTCAGAATGTATTGTGCCAATAGTAACCAGATAATACGTGTTATTGTAAATGATATATTTTGTGCTGTAAGTAGTTACATAGCCATGTTAGTCCCTTGCTTGTTTTCATTTTCTGTATTTTCTGGTTACAGACCAATTCACATGGGGAAACAGTGAAAACCTTGTATTTCAGTTACCTTGCAGTCCTTCAGAAGGTAGCCAACCACGTTGCACTACTGCAGGCTGCTAGCACTTCCAAACAACAGGTTTGGGTTGGCGTTTGCAATTTCTTTGTGATGCTGTTTGGTATAAATATTTTATATTTAGTATAAAATTTCTTAGCCAAATATCTGTAAGTTATTTTGGTATGAAATTTAAGAGGAAACTGACTTGCTCGTTTTTTAATTTAGGTGTTGAAGTATATGCACTTAAGTTTTTAATCAAAGTGAGAATATTTAAGCTTAAATTAAAATAACTCCTTTTGTGCCTCTGATAATGTTCGTATATTTATTTTCCTAACATATTTTAAATAAGATATTTGACGGGTCAGTCCTATTCAATTAATAATGTGACTAATTATGTTTAATCTACTGGATTAAAATAAAAATTTATAATAATCCATGTATCAAATATTGGGGGTATCCCAAACTGGCAAAAATCAGTAATTTGAAAGTTTAGGCATAAAAGCAATCATTTACACTGGTCATTTCAATTATATCTTATTCTAGAGCACAACGTAAATAAAAAGATCTTTTTTAAAGCTTTTTTTATGTAATGATTTTATATTTTTGTGTGTGTGTTATAGTCTTGATGCTGTTTAAATGTAATTTTAAAATCTATTAAGAATTTAATTTCTTTGATAATACTGTTTGCTCTTTGGGAAGTATTTGCTTCCTTGTTTTGGAAATCTTAAAGTAATGATAAAATTAGTAGCCATATCATTATCTCAGAACTCATCAAAGCTATACTATGATTAACTTATCACTTTAAGGTTTTCGGAATTATTAGTCTGATTTAAGAGGATTAAAATCTTCGAAGTAATATATTCCTTCTAAATAGAATTTTTTTTCATAAACTCAATCTATACAGGTTTAAATGTGTTAAGTTGAAATTTCTTTTCTTCTACCTTTTCCCTTTAAGGAAACACTTATCAAAAGGATATGTGATCAAGTATTTTCCAGATTCCCAGATTTTGTGCAGAAAAGCAAAGATGCAGCCTTTGAGACACTTTCTGACCCAAAATACAGTGGAAAAATGAAGGTGACTGCTTCTCTTTCAGGTTGCATACACACAAGGATGATATACAAAACATTTATCAAATGGCATTATAGGGACACCAGCTAATCAGAACAAATGCCCAACTATTCAGGCAAGACGGTGGCCAAAGACAACTGGTGTAGTTGTATCAGCATTGACTAGCTCACTATGAACCCTGCATGCTGTAAGTTCTCAATTAGTAGTAGTTAGGTCAAATATACTTCAAACTTTCCTTATTGATGTATTGGACTCATGCCCTTTTAAAAATGTATGCCATTACCACATATGTAATAGCTTGTCTTCAAATGTTTAAGGAGATAATCTACCAGAAATAGAAATGTTAATGCCAAATAGGAGGGTGAGGGTAGGCAGTAGCTTTGAATTAGAGAAAGACACTTCTTGAAGAGTTCAAGGTGGAGAAGGCCCTTATGTCTAGACTGAATGTTCTGCCTCTTGTTTTTACTTGCCAACCATGATTGTAAGGTTGGTAAATCTTGTTTGTAGCAAGGGAGCATTTGTTGTACTGGGAAACTGACCTGTAGGTACTGCTCTTGGTGATGTACTACTGAGGGAGAGGTGTGAAAAGTAAGGCTAGGTTCTCCAACCATGTCCCAGGCCTCTAGGCATCATTGCCTGTGACAGCTGCATGAAATGCTGACAGCCTCCAGCCTCCTTACAGCAGAATTTGTTTGTTTAACCCCTTAATAACGATCAAGAATCTTTATTTTTGGATTTAAAGATTTTTACAGAACAGTTCCCAACTTTAATTAAGAATAAGTTATTTCTTTTGGCCAAAAAATAAAATAAAAATGAAGTAATTCAAAGTAGTTTATTTTGTTTTTGTTTTTCTTAAAATCCTAGAAATATTTTTAGCAGTTTATCTACATAAGTTCACTGTAGTTTAGTTTGCTTGGACTTTTTAATTCAGTGAAATAAAATGAAAGCTAGCAAGATAACCTTAAAAACTTGTGTGTATATTTTTTTTTTATTGTGATATAAGTGACTTAGGACATTGTGTTAGTTTTAGGTGTACAATATAATGATTTGATATATGTCTATGTTGCAAAATGATTACCACAGTAATTTTAGTTAACATCCGTCACCACACTTAGTTACAATTTTTTTTTCTCGTACTGAGAACTTTTAAGATCTACTCTCTTAGCAACTTCCAAATGTACAATGTAGTATTGTTAACTGTAGTCACCATGTTGTATGTTATGTCCCCAGGACTTATTTTTCTTATAACTGGAAGTTTGTACCTTTTGACCACCTTCGCCCATTTCATCCATCCCCAATCCCCTAGATTGGTGGTTGCGCCTTCTGGCAACCACTAATCTAGTCTCTGTACCTATGAATTTGGTTTTTTATTTTGAGTCCACATATGAATAAGATCTTATAGTATTTGTCTTTCTCTGTCTCTCTTATTTCACTTAACATAGCGTCCTCAAGGTCTATCCATGTTGTCACAAATGGCAGGATTTCCTTCTTTTTTATGGCTGAATAAAATTCCATTGTACATTTATATACCACATTTTCTTTATCCATTCATCCGTCCACAGACACTTACGTTGTTTCTATGTCTTGACTATCATAAATAATGCTGCAGTGAACATGGGAATGCAAATAACTTTTCAAGATCAGTTTCATTCTTTTGCATGTGGCTGTCCAGTTTTCCCAACACCGTTTATTGAAAAGACTATCCTTTCCTCACTGTAGGTTCTTGGCTCCTTTGTCATAAATTAATTGACCGTATATACGTGGGTTTATTTCTGGGCTCTCTGTTTTGTTCCATTGATCTATGTGTCTGTTTTTATGCCCATACCATACTGTTTTGGTTACTATAGCTTTGTAATATAGTTTGAAATCAGGAAGTATGATGCCTCCAGCTTTGTTGTTTTTTCTCAAGATTGATTTTGCTATTCAGAGTCTTTTGTGGTTCCATACAAATTGTAGGATTGTTTTTTCTACTTCTGTGAAAGATATCCTTGGGATTTTGATAGGGATTGCATTGAATCTGTAGATTGCTTTCGATATTATAGACATTTTAACAGTAGTAATTATTCCAATCCATGAGCACAGAATATCTTTCCGTTTATTTGTATCATCTTCAGTTTCTTTTATCAGTGTCTTAAAGTTTTTAGTGTATAGGTCTTTCACCTCTTTAGTTAAGTTTATTCCTAGTTATATATTTTTTGATGCAATTGTGAATGGGATTGTTTTCTTAATTTCTCTATCTGATAGTTCCTTGTTAGTATACAGAAATGCAACAAATATTTGTGTATTGATTTTGTATCCTGCAACTTCACTGAATTTGTTTATTAGTTCTAACAGTTTTTTTTGTGTGGAATCTTTAGTGTTTTCTATATATAATATCATGTCGTATGCAAAAGAGACAGTTTTAGTTCTTCCTTTCTGATTTAGATAGCTTTGATTTCTTTTCCTTACCTAATTGCTCTGTCTAGGACTTCCAGTATTATTATGAATAAAAGTGGTGAGAGTGGGCATCCTTATCTGGTTCCTGATCTTAGAGGAAAAGCTTTCAGTTTTTCACCATTGAGTATGATGTTATCTGTGGGCTTGTCATATATGGCCTTTATTATATTGAGGTATATTCTTTCTATACCCACTTTGTTGAAAGTTGTGTATTTTTAAAATACATAAGGTTGTATTAGTGAGAATTATCCTATGATTTATTATCATAACAAATAATTCAAATCCAATAATATTTCCTGAGTAGTAAAGCTATTTTTGTCATCCATTTTATTGACTTTTATTTATTTTTAAATTTAAAAAAAAGTATGTAAAAAGTCCAATTAATTTAGAACTGAGCACTTATCATCCCATAATTTAAGCCAATAGAATATTTCCATGGCCTCCTTTGAAAACGGCATTATCCATTGCTATTTGTTTAAATTTTATTCATTGTGACTCTTCACTAAAAAGTTACCACTCTTGAAATTAAATAGAATTTTATAACTCTGCATTTTATATTCTTGTATACCCATTAAATATATGACTTAAAGCATACTGAGTTATATATCTCGGAATAATAGCATCTGATTAAGATAATTATTAGATTTCTTTTTTGTTATGACTTTTAGAAGGGAAAAAGCAAGCATGAATTATTACTGGAGGCTGGGTAGGTGTCTTTATATGTGAAAGAAGCCTGTAATTTATTTGTTTTGTGAGAGAAACCAACAAAACAAAGACTGATCAGATTAAGCGGGGGATATATTTTTAAGACTGTGTTTCATCATTTGATTAGCAACATCATCTGGTGATTTAGTGATACAAAACCTATCGGCTTATAATGGAATTATTGCCTATGGGGTTAAGAACCCCGAGTTGCATATACTTCTTGAATTCAGGCAATAAAAACATCCTAGTTCTGCTTCTCTTATTATAGGTCAGCCTGTAGCTGCAATTTATTTGTGGATGTAATGCCCACTCTACTCTTCATCGCCTCACAGCTACACTCATGAACTCCAGCTCTTTCTCTTAAGTGTCAAGGTCTTTTTTTGACCTCAACTACTATTCAAATATATGGTCACAAGTTGTACTCCTTCCCCTGATAAGAATCCTCCTTTTCTTTCTTGGGAAATGCCACAGAGCCACTTACTGTGAGGAGCAGAGAAAAAGACTAGGAAACCCAGTTTTGGGCTATTGGAATCGTACAAGGGTCATGTTCATCTCTAGGCCTGACTAATTTGATAAAAGTTGGATCCAAGATTCCTTAGTTGTGAACATTCCCAAATCTAGGATTCCTTTACAAGTGGATTTTCCTGTTCTGTGGAGGACAACTGAGTAATAATGGTTCTGTATTGTTAAGATCTAACGTATAGTGACTACACTGTCATTTCTGAAACTTTAGTAAGAGATCTTAGTTTATAGTTATTCATCTGGCTAGTAAGTCTGTTTTTTAAAAAAAACTAGCCTAATAAAGACTTTCAGTCTAAAAGCTTTCACTTTTCTTATTACATGTTTTTGTTTTTACTGTAAGATATTCAAGAATACCTGAAATCGCAATAGGTATGATACCACCCAAGTAATCAGAGTGGATTTCTATGCACTATATGTTTTACTTAAAATGTTAATGTCTTTAAGAGAATGAAAAGACAAGCCACAGACCGGGAGAAAATATTTGCAAAACAATAAAGGACTGATATTTAAAATATATAAAGAACCCTTAAAACTTAACAATAATAAAAGAAACGATCCAACGTGAAAATAGGCAAAAGATCTGAAGGAAACCTCACCAAAGAAGATATACAGATGGCAAATGAACATATGAAAAGATGCTCCTCATCATATGTCTTTAGGGAATTACAAATGAAAACAATAATGAGATACCACTACATACCTGTTAGAATGACTAAACCCAGAACACTGCCAACACCAAACGCTGAGAAGGATGTGGAGCAACATGAACTCTCATTCATCACTGGTGAGAATGCAGAGTGATACAGCCACTTTGGAAGACAGTTTGACAGTTTCTCACAAAGCTAAACGTAGTGTTCCCATAAGATCCAGCAATCCTGCTCTTTAGTATTTATCAAATGAGTTAAAAACTTATATCCACAAGAGCCTGCACACACATGTTTATGGCAGCTTTATTCATAATTGCCAAAACTTAGAAGCAACCAAGAATGGATAAACAAACTGTGGTGCATCCAGACAGTGGAATATTATTCAACCGTAGAAAGCAATGAGTTATCAAGCTATGAAAAGACGGAGAGTCACCTCAAATGTGTATTGCTAAGTGAAAGAAGCCAGTCTGAAAAGGTTACATGCTGGTGATTCCAACTATATGACATTCTGGAAAAGGGAAAACTATAGGGACAGTAAAATGATCAATGGTCACTAGGGGTTTGTAGGGAGGATGAATAGATGGAACACAGGGAATTTTTAGGGCAGTGAAACTTTTGTATAATACTGTAATGGTGGAAACATGCGGTTATATATTTGTCGAAATCCATAAAACTGTACAGCACAATGAGTGAACCCTAATGTAAACTATGGACTTTAGTCAGTAATAATTTATCAGTATTCATTCATCACTTGTTACAAATGCATCACCCTAATGCAGCATATTAATAACAGGGGAAACTGTCTGCAGGGATGGGGAGTGGGGGGGGGGGTCTATGGGAGTTCTCTGTATATTCTACTGAATTCTGTAAATTTAAAATTGCTCTAAAAATAAAGTCTATTAAATTTAAAACGTAAATGTATTATGTGAATTTCAAATGCACATACTTTATATAGAATCAGTTATTTTATTAAAAAATAAAGCTAATGCAAGTAAAACTTACTTTATATGTTCTCCAAGTGTTAAAATAATGTTTACCTGATCTGTGACATTTTTATTCACCATTTGGTTGGTTATCTGAGTAGGTTTTTTTTTTTTTATCTCTGTAGCTGTTTTAGAGGGATTGGGGGGTAGAGGTCAGAGTTAGCACAATGCCTTCTCTTGCTCAACTATTAAAAGAGTGTTTTATTGAGTATAAATTTTTTTATTTGAAAGTTTGTGTGTATCATTGAATAAATAAAATTGCTTAAGTGTTTATTACATAGTTCAGGAAAAACTTAGTACAGAAAATTCCTTTTCTTTCCTTTGTGGATTACTTTTCCACAGTGTTCTGGAGCTGTCACTGCCAGATGTGGAAATGCCTGTTTTAAAAATAACAGTGTAACTGTTATACACAGGCTTTGGATTATTTGCTTCCTCCCTAAAAGCACCGTGTATGGGAGCAAATTATTGGCATTTTGAGATCAAAATCAAATCTGGAAGTCAGGGCTTACTGTAAAAAGAGAAACAGAGGGGAGAAAATGAGAAGAGGTATACATCTGACTGATTATTTTAAGAAAATAAATATCAAGACTTTGAGAATCTAGATGTAATTAAACGCATTTCATTACATCTATCTAAAGAAAATTTAAAGACTTCCTAAAAGGAGTGCTGCTGTCTAATTTAGTTTCTGAACATATTGTAGGTATAAAGAAAGTGTATGTTGGAAATTAAATTAATCCATTTAAATGCATCCCACAATCTAAAATCCTTCCTTTTTATTAAAACCAGATGAGATGAAATAAAAGTCTTTATTTTTACTTTACCTCATTTTTACCTCATTATTGACAATATGATGATAAATAACATTTCACGTTATATCTAATACTTTATTTCTCTAACTTGGCAAAAATGAAGGGATTTAGGAAAGATGACTTAGGTTATGTTATAAAAATAATTTTCAAGAAATTCTCAAGTAATTTTTATATGTATAAAGTGTACTTTTAATTGGAACTCATCCACTGATGTTCTGTGGTTCATTTCCAGGTCCTTCACCAGCTTTTAAATCATTGCTGGAAAAACAAAGACAAAGTTCTTCTTTTCTCCTTTTCCACCAAGGTAAGTTTCATCTAAAGTGTATTCTTGATTGGCCCAGCCCTGACTCCCAAGGCATAAAACCTAAGAGACGTAACAGTGTCCAGTCACATTTTCTGGTCTGTATGTAGTGTAGGAAATGGTAGGGGGTAAGCAAATTTTAAAACAGACACATAAATCTCAATTATATCAGAGTTACTATCAAGTAGCAAACTCAAAGGTAGATTTTTAATTCTCTGTCGATGTCTTTGTTAATAGTTAAAATGTTCTTTAAGACATTTAAGAGATTTTAGAATGTAGAAAATGGCACAAATAATGAAATGTATTTCCACAAATGATTTGGCAATACTTTTATTGTTATTTGGTTTCAGTTAAAAAAAATTAAAGATTGATTTTTTTTTTCCCTGAAAGATTGATTTTTTTTAAACAAAGGTTGTTGAACATTAAAATCAGTTTGAATATAATGGGCAGGCTATATGAGTCAGAAGTCAGAAAAATATTTGTTGCTCTTGTAATTATAAGAAAGAAATTGGGAGCAGCAATAATTAGTCCTTAGTAAATCTCATCTCTGTAATGGTATGAAACTTGTAAAACCATGAATTCATCTTTGCCCATCTCCATCCCTTTCCTCTAGGTGCTCGATGTGCTACAGCAATACTGTATGGCGTCTGGGCTTGATTACCGAAGACTCGATGGAAGTACAAAATCAGAGGAAAGAATCAAGATCGTGAAAGAGTTCAATAGTACACAAGATGTCAACATTTGCCTTGTATCCACAATGTAAGAAAACCAAATCTGATAACTTGATTTTTATCTAATTGCTTTTAAGATTTAGGGTAATTTTTAACCTATTCCTGGATTAATTTTCAGTGGTTGTACTTACATTGCTTTGTTTTATTTGGCTTTAAGGTGAAGCAGCAAAAATGCTATTAATTGTGACTGAAATAACAATATCTGAGTTTTACCTAACCTGTTCTCTTATCATCACTGAATTCTCCTTATATGTCTGAGTTTATAAAGATAACAATCAAAAAAATAGATGTTTATTCCTAGGAATTTTCTGTGGTAGTGTATTGACTCATGTCTTGTAATCAGAACAGTCAGACTTAATTGAATAATCGAGTTATTGATCGAACACCTGAGAATCATTGTAGCAGTGATTTTCAAACTGTGCTCACGGAGCCCTAGGGAGCCCACTGGGCCTAGTGGGCAGGCGTTCCCTCTGCTGTCTCTACCTGGTCTCAACGAAGCAGCTCCACATTTATACGTTTTATAAAGGGTAAATCAGTTCTAACACCTATTCATGAATCTCTGATTAAAACCTTTTAAAGAATATACACACTTTAGAGAAAGATTTAAGTCAATATCAAAACCTAAGAAGATTAATCCCTTTTTTAGGGGTAATAAATCTATAACTTTTGACGTCTAATGTAATAAATATTTTATAGATTTGCTCCCACTGAATTCTTTCAAAAAGAATTTCAAGAGACTTTAAAAAATAAACCTACGTAAAATGCAAAAAAAGTCAAAATTAAGTCAAAATAAAAATTACTTCAAATGAGGAACACAGTAATATATATGATGAGTGAGCTACTTACTGTTGAGCACTTAAATTATTTTTGAATTCTTGTAACTAAGGCACAAGGAGAGAAGCTCTGGATTCCCATTTTCTTGTGAATTCAAGAAGTAATTTCTCACATGAGTCCTTACATACAGAGCATTAAATGACATAGAATACTGTATTCGTTAAGTTTTATAAAACACACATAAGCATGCTTTATTTTTAAATAATGTTTTTCAGAGTGATAAATGCCTTCAGCAGCAGTTAAAATACCACAGAACTTATAATGACAAACAATCATCCCTCACTCCTCTTCTGCTCACCACCAGTCTAATTTGATGAGATCTGCCATAAAGCTCCTAATTCTCTCTTCAAATATTAGAAATTGCTATTTAACCCATCTATTGGATTTTTAATTTTTGAAAGCTATATTTTTCATGTTTGAATGTCCTATTGATATTTTTCAAATCAGCCTGATCATTTTTGCTTATATCTTGTTCTTTATAGTTTCTAGCCTTTCTTTATTTCTTTAGCAATTTTAATCATTATTTTTGAAAAACATCTCTTTGTGAATGGCATTGTTGCTCTATTAACTCCTGTACTTGTGGGAGCTAATCCTTCTGTTTGTTCTGGCTCTTGCTTGTGGTAGACAGTTTCTTCACGAGTTTTGTAATTTTCTATTTTGAGCTCATCTTCAGTGGGAGTGTTTCCTCTGTAGAAGTCCTTTGGAGACTGGTTGTAGGAGTTGTCCACTACTGTGGTTTTGCTTTGACTTCTACAAGGCATCCCAACCAAGGCCAGGGAAGAAGTTTTGGATTCCTATTTTCCTGTGACTGAATTCAAGGAATAATTTTTTACATGAGTCTTTACATAAAGAACATGACATAATAAATACATTCTTCAGCTATGTTTTGCAAAAGACACAGAGGCTCAATTTTTGTTTTTTTTTTCTCATTTTGCAATTGTTTATATTTAATTTATAGATGTTGTAGCACGAGTCTTCGCATTGGCTTAGTCCATCATTTTAACCAGAATACTAAGTCTTCGTTATCTTTTAGTTTATCAACTTTACACAGCTCAGAGTATCTGTTATGAAAGAGGAGAATTTAGTCTACTTACACTACCCTGTCCCCACTTTCCACACAATCTTTACTATTTTTAATTTTAATATTTGCTTACAAAATTACTTTTGTATCTTTAAGTAATACACTTAAATTTTGATGTTTAGTTCATCAGCTTTCTGTGGTAACTTCTAAGTGCTTGTAATGTGTGGCATTAGCATTAGCACACACCCACCCTTTCTTCTACTTTTGTCACTTATCCATATCATCTGTCAACTACTTTAACTTTTACCTCATCAAGAGTAGTAATGTTTTCGCTAAGTCCTGCAACAATAACCAAGTCTTCCATGCTCTGTCCATAGGTTGGCTCAAAAATTTGGAGGCTAAAAAACAGCATTTACGTGATTATGATTTTGTAAACATTATTTAATGCTGAACCATGTAGTGGTAAGGGAACTTCACTGAATGTTCGAGGCCTCTTGGCCAATTCAAGGAGAATAGTCTTAACATCAACCTCAAATGAGTTCTCTTTTCTAACACTTCATCTGTCATCTTATGTTTGCACTGTTCAGTTCACTTCATATTTCAATCATGACTTTCTTATTCAGTTTTTTTCCCTCAGTGTATTTTTGCCTTTTATGATAATAATCTTTAATATATTAATTCACATTCACACTTTCTTTTCTATTGAATCTTCTGTATCCTGAAGAACTTCCTTCTGAAGGCTCTTGTCTCTGTTTTCAGTCTGGACTGGTTGCTCTCTAGGCCTGATAAGGAACTGTTACCTTGAAGTTTTCTTTCACTCTCTTCTGCATTGGATCCATTTTTCCTTGATTTAATGCCATCTTCATTCTTGGTTTGCCCCCTTATTTTACTGGAGAATATCTTCAAGTAACTTTGTAAACCAGGTTGTATAGAAAGTAAACTTGCTGCGTCTTTGAATATCAGAAAATGTCTTTTATGTGCTCTCTCACTTAATTGCTATTTTGGCTGACTATAGAATTCTAGATTGAAGTTATCACAGCATTGTTTCCTGGTATTTAGTGTTACTGAATAGATGTCTACTGCTAATCTGATTCTCATTGCTCTTTGGGAACTCACAAGAGTTTCTCTTCATCTCTGGTGTTCTGAAATTTGATAGTGATATTTGAGTCTCTGTGTGGGTCTTTATGTATTGTGCTGGGCACAATCTGAAGGCTTGTCTTCTTTTTAAGCTCTGGAAAATTCTCTTTGATTATTTCTTTGACAATGGCTTCTCTTCCATTTTCCCTCTCTAGGTTGCATGCTAAGTTGTCAGATTTTAGAGCTTCTGTGTTGATTCTTTAAATCTCTGAACTTTTCTCTCATATTTTGTGTTTTTATCTTTTTGCTCTATATTCTGAAAAAAGTCATTTTCCAATCTTATTATTTTATTTGAAATAATTTTTGTTCTAAAAATTTTCTTGCTTTCTGAGCTCTTTTGTTCTCAGAATTATCTTTATTCTGGAACATCAACACCTTAAAGCTTAGCTTCCTGTAATCATCTCATTCAGTTAATTAAAGAAGCATTTTTTTCCCTGAGTTAAGATTTTTATTAGAATCATTGAATTTATAAGTGGCTTTGAGGAAAATTGGCGTTTTTATGGTATTGAACCTTCCTATCTATGAACATGGTATGTCTACATTTATTTAGGTTTTCTCAGATGCATTCTTTAAATGAATACTTCATTTGGCTCTTTATAATAGTTAATACATAACCATAAAACTTAATGCATTGAAGGCCTTTTTTGTGGAACATTAAAATATGGTTAAAGTATACTTTTTGATATACTTATTTGATACAAGAATAGAATGTGGAGGGCCTAAGGAATGAATATCCTGCATGCTCATTATGGATCTGTCTCAAATACCAGTCCTCAGCTTGAAAAGGCTATAATATTCTATTTTTTTGCTTAAGATGTAAGTCATTGCTGTTAGCCATATGAGAACACAGTGACAAGTTTGAAAGTTTAGGGTTCTGAGTTGCATTATCATTAAACAGAGAATCATCTCATCTCCAAAGACAGAGTTTAGAGATTTTTTTTCTTTAAAAGGAGCTTTGCCTCTGCTTTAACTCAGCCAGTCTTCAGTTGTAACTTTATAATCTCTTGAAAGATTGCCGCCTCGAATGGTGGAAACCTTCCTGTGGCTCATATAGGACATCTAAGGTAAATTCACGTCAAACCTTACTGACAAGAAGCTAACTGGAGCAGTTGGTTAGATTTATTTTTGGTGTTGCTCATTTAAGTGTTAGAAAATATTTCTTAATTTCCAATTTTATTTTAGTTATATCTAGTTGATTTTTCATATAATTAATCTGCTTATATAATTTGATGAACCTTGTTTCATCAAATTTTTTTGCCATCACAATATCAGACAGATAAACTTGTAACTTCTCTTGCTTGGTGTCTAAATCCTACCCACTCCCCTAATTTACCCATTTTTTTAATCCTTTCCAAAAAACTTTCTCCCTATCAACCTCACTCCCTTCTTTGAATTCAAGTCTCTGTGACATCTTTATGTGATCACCTTTAATAAGTAATTTTCCAAAGGAGAAAATTCAATTTCTGTTGAACACTGAACTTTAAGTCAGGATACTTGGGTTTGAATCCAGATACTGGTCACTTAGGAGACCTTGAACAAATTAATCAATTTTTCTGATTCTCAATTTCCCCATCTGTAAAATGAGGATAATAGTTAGCTCATAGAGCTTTCTTGAAGATGAAAGAATAGGATATGTGAAAATATCTTGGAGGAACATCCTGATATACAGTAGATGCTCAATGTTAATTTCTTTCTATTTTGATAGAAACTGTAGAAAAGAAGATTATTAGCATTTTCTCTCCCTGGATGATTAGGATCTAGTGTAAAGCATTATCTAAGTGTGAGTTGAGTTATGTGATAGTCTAGGCATTTGAAAAGGGAAAATCAGCGAGATAAAGCCTCAGAGAAAGACTTTGAAAGTTGAGATTAGAAAAACTATTAAAGAAAATAAAGAAAATCATTTTGTTCTTGGATTTTAGTTTTGCCTTCCTTTTAAAAAATACAAAATTTTATTGTTATATCATAAAATAATTATTAAATATAGGGTATATAGACCAGAAAATTCAAAATATAGGAAGATAACATTTACTGTTAGTTAAAATCTAATAAGCTTTGCAGGAAGCTGAAATCTTTAACTCCATAGACAAATATTATATACATCCAGTTTTGCTAAAAGTTACCTTTAAAAAATATCTTTAGAAATAACTTCATTACAAAAGGAATTAGTAGTATTCCGATATGTTTTGGCTGATAAAAAAAGGAATGTATCAAAACCATTAAGTAATTTCATATTAATAAAGACTGTCAAAAATATATATCTTTGGTGGCTTCTATTCGCTGTACATTTTAACCACAGGTCAAATAAAATGAAGATAAAACTTTTGACTTTCCATATAAGTAGCAAATAGACTATCTGTAGCACAAGTACTAGGCACAATTTCATTCTTCATGTTGACTTTCAGAGTCACACACTGATTGACTAGAAACAACTTTCTAAGCCAACCATGTAACTTGAACCATAATGCTTTCATAGTTATTCACTTATAACGATTAAGTTAAGGATTTGAGGTACTATACTCCAAAAGTCAATGTTTTCAGATGGTTTAGGTGCCTCTAAATATTCCAACACCATGAATCATCATTTGAAAGGCTCTTGAGAAAAATTATTTTGTATTTCTCTTATTTTTATTCCAGAAAAGTATATCTTACCTCCCCAGAAAGATGAGAGCATTTCTCAGGAATAAGGAAAAGCGCATCTACTCCTGGATAGACGTTTTTAAATGTGTATACTACTTTATTTAGCTGGAATATGCTAAGAGTTTTTAAAAATTATATTAGGAAGGTCTCATAGAAATAGATTTGATTATCCAAAAAAATTGTAAAAACCAGCACAGTCTACTTTCATAGGCTATAATGGTCAGATTTTTTAGGGATATTCTAGAGTGGTGGAAAAAGAATATTCGATAGCTATTTCATTTGTGACATATCTGTGTTTTAATCACCTTACTTTTATGATGTTAATGCAATATTGTGTTGATTTGGTTATAGAAACCTGGCACAATTGAGTCTCAGAGCAACAATTATTGTTTTGCTGTTTTAATATGCTCTTGTCTGTTTCCTCCAGGGCTGGTGGGCTAGGCCTCAATTTTGTTGGTGCCAATGTTGTTGTATTATTTGATCCTACTTGGAATCCAGCCAATGATCTCCAAGCCATTGACAGGTATAATACTGACAAAACTTAAAGTGACCTGCACATACTTTTAATCTAAAAATGATCCTGATTTTTTTTAGGTTGCTTATAATATGACTGTGATTAGAAGATAGGGAAAACTTAGTAAAAAACTTCTATTTAAGATAAGCTTGAACTTCTGAATCTAAATGGTAGGCCAGTAATAGCCGTTTATTTTCTATCCATCTCAAAATCCCATTGTTGTGACAGAATTGATTTAAGAAGAAAGAATAAATCTGTAGTACTGCAGGAAAATAGGAAAGGTCACTACTAGTAAATCAAAAGTTTTGAGAAACTTCTGGAAGATAGAAGCCACACAGAGTCCGTATGATCAAGAAACCAACAGAGAAAAACTGCAATCCAAAGTCGGCAGGAGAGCACAGAGAAATTTCAAGCATGAGGTCAGCAGCTACAGGTTGTGGGAATAGGCCAGAGTGCATCCTTCTGGGAGATTAATGTGCTGACTCTAAAACAAAGTCTTCTTCTACACCTCATACACACAGGGGCGTTGGCCTATAACAGATGCTCCTTTATTAAAGCTGAAAGAATCATTTCATAAATTTTTTAAGTGGGGACTCTGACTGACAAAAGATTTCTACAATGGCCATTAGAACCCGATTATAAAGCAGAGCTGAATCTGAAGTAATCTCAGATCTTCACAGGACACAGAAAGGGGGAAATGATTAAATAGACCTGTGTACCTACATGGAAACCCTGACCAGCTTTCCTATACAATCCACCCAGTTCCTCATTTGTAATTATGAATGGAAAATTAAGAATTATGAGACATTTTAATAAAACCAGTACTGTGAAAGAAAAGGCCTAAGGTGAAAAACAGACCCTGAAGGAAATAAAATAAGAATAGGACATCATGAAAAAAAGTGCATAGACAATAAAAAATAGAAATTCTTAGAAACTAAAACTATTACCAAAATAAAATAACTGGGTAGAAGGCCTGAATAATAAAATAGAGAGGACTAATATGGACATTGATTTGGGAAATAAAAGGAATGAATATCTTAGAACATAAATAATGACTGAGTGGGAGAGAAAACATACATAGACACATTTTGATGATGTTTCTAAGTTCCAAAGACAAAGAGAAGGGCTAAAAGATGCCAGAGTGAGAATGAGGGAGAGAAAATTATTTATAAAAACAAAGACAAAAAAGAACAGAGCATTATCAATAAAGAAATGAGAATCACACTCATTTCTGCACATCAGACTTTGATGAACAGACTTTTCATCTGCATTATAGGATTCTAAAATATAAGAGTTGTCAAAGTGACAAAATTCATATGACTGTATCTAAAAGAAAATTCATATGACTATATCTATAACTGAATTGCAGTTATAATCAGTGGTTAAAATATCAATATGTGAACACCAAATAAAGCAACTGTTGACATCTAGGAACTGAGACAATGTATTACTCACGGTCTGAAAACATTATTCAAGGATGTAATCCAACAAACGAAATGTTAATGTGTGTAGAAAGAAGGCATAAAAAGCAGCGATAATTAAAAAAAGCTCTCCTATTGATAGTTAAGTCTAAATATTTGTTGATAATTTGGCTGAGAGGCTTAATGTAGGTATAAAGAAAGAATTCTCAAAAATATGAAGGGATGGTATAAGAAAATTAATAGTAATCAACAACTAAAACTCCATATAATTTCAATAAAACATTGGGGGAGGAGGGTAAAATTTTTCTTTCATCAGGAAGGATTAGGATATCCTGGTCAGTTTTCAAAATTTATGCCAAAAATGTTTTTAAATGCTAGCAAAAAGTTTAAGGGCATAATAATCACTTGTTACACTTTTTAAAAACATAGATGCTCAGGCTCTGCCCTCCAGGCATTCTAATTCTGTAGATCTACAGTGTGGCTCTATGGTCTACATTTTAAAAAACACCTCAGGTTGTACATCAAGACAATATCAACAGTAAAAGGCAGCCCACAGAATAGGAGAGCATATTTTGCAAGTCACGTATGTGACAAGGAATTAATATCTAGAATACGTAAAGAACTCCTAAAACTCAACAACAACAAAAAATAACAAACCAATTCAAAAACGGGACAAGGACTTGAATAGACATTTCTCCAAAAAGAATATACAAATGGCCAATAAGCACATGAAAAGATGCTCAAGGTCACTCAACATTAGGGAAATGCAAATCAAACCTACAATGAGATATCACTTCACACCCATTAGGAAATCTGTTATCCGCAAATGGAGAGTAACAGGTCTTGGTGAGGATAGAGAAATTGGAACTCTTGTACATTGCTGGTGAGAATGTAAAATGGTGCAGCTTCTGTGGAAAACACTATGGTGGTTTTCAAAAAATTAAACATAGAGTTACCGTATCATCCAGCAATTCTACTTCTGAGTATATACCCAAAGAATTGAAAGTAGGAACTCAAACAGATATTTGTACACCCATGTTCATAGCAGCATTATTCACAATAGCCAAAAGGTGGAAACATCCCAAATGTCCATTGATGGATGAATGGATAAACTAAGTGTATTATATACACATAATGGAATATTAGTCAACCTGAAAAGGGAATGAAATTCTTTTTTTTGTTCCGTTTTATTGAGATATAATTGACATACAATGCTGTATAAGTTTAAGGTGCACAGCATAATGACTTGACTTACATATATTGTGAAATGATTATTGCAGTAAGTTTAGTTAACATCTCATATAGAAACAAACAAAAAAAGAATGAAATTCTGATACATACTACAACATGGATGAATCTTTAAGATATTATGCTAATTGAAATAAGCCAGATTGTATGATACCACTTATATGAAGTATCTGGAATAGTCAAATTCATAGAGATGGAAAGTAGAATGGTGGTTGCCAGGGGCTGGGAGGAGGGAGGGAATGGGGAGTTATTGTGTAATGGGTACAAGGTTTTAGTTTGAGATGATGACAAAGTTGTGGAGATGGTTGATGGTGATGGTTGTAAAACAATGTGAATTTTCTTAATGACACTAAACTGTACATTTGAAAATAGTTAAAAGGGTAGATCTTATGTTATGTATATTTTACTGCAATTTAAAAGAAAACCACCTAAGGTGATGGTAATACAATTGATCCTCGAATCCACTTTGAGAAACACCAGAAATTAGTTGCAAAATGTCCAAATAGAACTTCCAAAAGAAATTTTAAAGGAACAATGAGAAAATGTAATTGTTTCAGTGAATGATAGGAAATAGGAGTGTGTGGGGGAGGTGGAGGAAACTCAGAAAGCATGGCAAATACAAAACATAACATAAAGTGTCAGAAATAAGACCAGACATAAATATGGATAGGTAAAAAGGTGAAAAGGAAAAGTTAGGTTCAGATTTATGCTTATTATGAGACATATATATATATATAATAAAAAAAATACATAGAAAGTTAAAAGTAAAAATATAGAAAAATATCTAATCAAGGAGATGGTAACAAAAAATAAGAAAGAGTGGCAATATTAATATCAAGCAAAATATTAATAGAATTCAAGACAAAATGCATTAAGGAAAACAAAATGGGGTACATTCCATGAGGAAGGTGTAATAGTCACCACACAACAAAGCCAAAACTCTTATAATATGATGAAAATTGGGCAAATCCACAATCATGATGGGAAACTTAATATCCCTCTCTCAAAAGTTAATAGATCAAGTAGGCAAAAAAGTTACATAAATTATTTGAATAATAGTTATCCACCTTAATTTAATAAATATGCATAACCTTATAACAGCTGAGAATACACAATCTTTCAAACATTTGTAGAGCATTTCTTTAAATGACTATATATTTTAATAGAAATCACATAGACTAGTTTCCATGACTCTAATAGAAAAAAATAAAAAAACTCTCAGGGCTGGCCCCATGGCCTAGTGGTTAAGTTCAGCATGCTCCCCTTTAGCAGCCTGTGTTCAATTCCTGGGCGTGGACCTACACCACTTGTCAGTGGCCATGCTTTGGCAGTGACCCACATACAAAATAGAGGAAGATGGGCATAGATGTTAGCTCAGGGTAAATCTTCCTCAAGCAAAAAGAGGAAGATTGTCACAGATGTTAGCTCAGGGCAAATCTTCCTCAGCAAAAAAAAACAACTCTAGAAAAATAGCAGTAAACATGTAGCTAATAAAAATCTAGCCATATGGGCATTTTTAAACAATTCTTGTATTAAAGAGAAAATCAAAGAGTGATGTCAGCAAGATGGCAGACTAGGAAGCTCTAGGTACTTGTTGCCCCATGGAAGGATTAGAAAAATAACTAGAGAGCTCTTTAAACCAGTCAGAGATCTTCAGTAACCAAGGAAATTCCCAATAAAAAAGAAGCTACATTCAAAACTGTGGGAAATTTTGTGACATTTTTACTCATCCTTGCCTCACCCCCCCTCCCTGGTGTCACATAACCACGAGGAAGCAACCACTTCCCACTTCCCTCCCTCAGGCTGGAAGGAACAACATAGAAGTCCTTTTCAGCTTTCTAACCTGTCTGTGGGTTGCCATAGGGACTGGTTTCTGTTTCACTTGACTCAGTGCTCTGATGAGGAATGGTGGCATAGCTTGGAACTCAGACTGGCAGAAGCTGTGGAAAGCAGTGGTAGGCTCCATGGTGCATGAAAGCTGCAGTGGGACTGCACACCTGCAGACACCTGTAATCTGAGATTACAAGTAGAGAAATATAATAAATATATAATATAATATAAAAATAATATAACATCTAAGGCCCTGGGAAGAAGCTGAGGTGAGACTCTGGGAAATTAAGACATTTAAAAGCAGTTGTGTATACAGGGGAAATCTGAAAACACACACACATGCACATACCCAGGCAGGACACATAACCAGAAATGACCTAAGAAGATTTTAAGCCTTCACCCTGAGCTGCTCCCAAGGGTCAAAACATGCCCTGCTAACTAATGAATATTTTCCATACCAGTTTGCAAAGACTGGGAGAAGTGACTGTTTTATCAAATGTCCAATTTTCA